CACATATATGCTCGTAGGTTGAGGGTACTTCTAACGTGGCCCATTTTCAAAATATCGCCAATTTGGTCGATAAAGTTTTTTTTAGGGCGTCCCTTCCCGAGTCTGCCGTTCACATCTGCCATATAAAATCACAAATCACATAATTTTTATTTTATTTTAAGTCCACCTGGTGGTAAGATGATGAAACTCTAGATAGTAAGTCGCAACGTCTTAGCATAACAGTCTTAGAGCCTCGCTTTAGCTCTAATATAGTGTTAGCCCGAATGGATCGGCTCGACCGGGGCAGGACCACGCTCTCACAGCATACCAGAGTGATATAGCACCTTAATGTTGCTGTGTTTTGTGACGACTGAAAATACTTTTTACTGGAACGAGATAGCTCAGGTGGTAAGCACCCGCTGTAAATTTCACTGTACGCGAGCAACCCGAGTTCGATCCCCTCAAGCATCAATCAAATTGTTAATTGCAATTTTAAGTGCTGATTTACCACGTACTCGGTTGTGAGGGAAAAAATCGTGAGAAAAAATATTTCAAAGACATTTGAAGTTTGCCAACACGCATCGGGGCAGCACGGCGGATACTTCTTTGCCCTAAAACCCTCTCAGAAATGAGCTTGTGTCCACGAGTGGGACGAAAAAAATAACTTTTGAGGTATTATATCTTAGTCCTCAGGGTAACAAAGGTTCTGTATTTTGATTACTAATCGAATATTAATGTCAAAAATATCTATTCCTACGTGCCTTGAAGTTGCATAGATTGTAATTTGACGGTAAGACGGACGCCGGCAGATCAATCCACTACCTTGCTGCATGCGTTACAAAAATCGAATCAGTGTTCGATTCGAATGCGTGGGATATCAACGATTTTGCAAACGTAACGTTTTATTGCAATATGAGCACTCTCGATATTCCTCGTTAATTTATAATTAGAAATACAAATCTGACTGAGACTAATCCACTTAGGACGCGACAGGGGAAAAACTTCAGTGTATTCGGCATATTTTTCTTAAATATATACACACTTGGCTTTTTAACTTTTTTATTATACATACAATACAATACAATACTTTTATTGCACACAAAAAAATACAAAGAACAACAAACTTAAATTGATAAATTTATGTACAATTAGGTGGCCTTATCAACAGCGATCTCTTCCAGGCAAACCTTGGTTGGTGAAGGAGATTCTTTACATATAAAAATATAGAAGTGTACATACATATATATACATACATAATACACATATATACATATTTGTAAATATTTTGTAACACATTATAGCTATATATATACATACCATATATACGCAAACCTTATCCAAGTATAGTAGATATGAGAATGAAATATATTAAGTAGAACACGTACTTAAATAATAATTTTTAACCAGTTTATTGAAAGACTCAAGGCTTTGGGCTTTCTTAATTGTTAAAGGAAGCGAGTTCCATAATTTATTTGCTTTGACACAAAAGGAGGAATTAAAAAAAATTGAATTGTGAGCAGGCAATCGCAAAACTAATTCTATTAATCTAGAATGATCTTTATCTGCACCCGCGAATTCAAATTTTTCTTTTAGATACGTCGGTGTTTTTTTAGTTTTACATTAGTACGAAACTCGGAAACATGATCATATTTGCGGAGGCCAAATATGAACCTAATAGCGAAATTCTGAAGACGCTCAAGTTTATTTAATTGATCCTCAGTAAGATTAGAGTACCATAAATCAGCATAATTAAGGATAGGGAGTAACAAGGACTGTGCCAGTAAAATTCTAGTAGTAAATAGTAACGCAAACGTCGTAAGGAATATGATGCCGCAAACATCTTTCTACTGGACTCTTTAATATGTAGGGACCAAGAAAGATTTTGATCAATGTGTAATCCTAGGTCTTTTACAGATTTGCTAAAAGATATCACAACATCATCAATAATAATAGGTGGTAGGTTATCCCAACAAATTCTGGAAATTACAGTAATATTTCCAACAATAATGGCTTGGGTCTTATTGGGATTTAAATTAAGCCCGAACGACCTGCTCCAATCATGTATTGCAGTAAGATTCATACTAGTGCCATTGATATCACTGGGAAGGTTCTGGAGTAATGTATAGGAGTAAACTTGAAGATCATCTGCATACAAATGGTAGAGAGAAGAAATTCGTGAAGTAACAGAATTAATAAACACAGAAAAAAGGAGAGGAGACAACACGCCACCTTGTGGTACACCAGCAGTTAGTTCACACCACGAATATGTGGCACCCCCCTACCATAACCCGCTGCCGGCGGCCACGCAAATAGCTTTGAAGCCATTCAATTGCTGCTGTAGATATGTTAATAGAACGTAGCAGACTCAGCAGTAATCAAAATCGACGGTGTTAAAGCGTTAATGAAATCCAGTAGCATAAGTATAGTGAGCTGCTTTTGGTCCATACCTCGGCGAATATCATCCGTGATTTTAAGTAACGCTGTAACCGTACTATGACCAAGTCTGAACCCCGATTGAAAGGAGTCAAGAACGGAGTTTTTATTTAGGAAGAGGTTAAGTTGTGCAAAGACTAAACGTTCAAGGACTTTTGAAAGGAATGAAAGAATAAATATAGGTCGATAATCTGAGGGAGAACACGGGTTCTTCTTTTTAGGAAGAGGGATGATATTTGCTTCCTTCTAAATTCGAGGAAAGGATTCAGAGGATAGAGAGTAATTGAAAATATGAGTTAAGATGGGGAGAATAATGTCAATCAGGGGGACGATAATTTTACGGCTAGTTTCATCACGTTCGATGGCACTTAACGATATGGACAAAACATTCTTCTTGACATCACAGTCGGAAAATTGATTGAATGTGAACGGCGAGAAATTAATTTTTACGTGGTAGAGCCACGCTGCAGCTATATTAATTGTATAGTTGTAGCACGAATGGGTCGGCTCGACCGGGGAAGGACCACGCTCTCACACAATACCAGCGTCAAATAGCAGCTTAATACTACTGTGTTTCGTATGGTGAGTGTAGAGAACCGGAGACCCATTTTACTGGAAAGAGGCATTCCATCTTAGTCCTCAAGGCTGACAACGCATCTTCATTTTGATTCGCAAACGGAGATAGATGCAGATGTCTATGGGCCACAGCAACCACTTACCATCAGGTGGACTATGTGCTCGCTTGTCACCCTTTTACTATAAAAAAAAATAGGAGTTGATGCTTTGGAAAGATTGTTTAAAGTGTATGATTTCATATTATCGCTTGAAAACGAAGAGGTAGATGAGAAATGTTGATTTAATGATTCAATGTCAACGTCTTCATTCGAAATCGTAGATTCTTTAGATTTTCCAACTCCTATAGATCTGAGAAACTTCCAAATTTTTGCAGGGTCTCCGTTCTAGACTGATCTTTGAACAATGGGTTGTTGTGTGTCTCTACAAATTGTATTGCAGCGATTCCGTATGATCCTATACTTGTCCCTATTTTGGTCCGTGAATTGAGAAGATAGGACTTCGTTTAGAGGAGTGAGATCTGTACTGTGAAAACTATCGTCACTACTGCCGCTTTCAGAGTAAGGTGTCACAAAGGAATCATTACTTGAAACAATATAATTGAACGACTCAGAACTCATAATAAGTCTTTCTTTTTATGAAAAATATATGATATGGTAATGCGTATATAAATATAGCGATATAAAATGATAAAAATAATAAATTAATATATAGATATAAATAATATGAATAAGTAAAAATTAACTAGTTCTCCGTCACCAATCAGCGTTACCAAAAGATCGATCGATCAAAAACGCAACTAAACTATCAGTAGTACATAGTTACACTTCATACGTACACAACAGTTACTGCAAAAAGTAGTATAGGCTAATAATATTACAAATGGTAGCACAAATTGATATTACAAAAAAATAGAAAAATTAACAGTAGGTCTTAAAAGTAAACAAATTAATTTCATTGATCATTTTTTATAAGCAAATAAGTTAATGTAAACTTTGAGTATGAGTTGGCTGTATGGTCATTCGATCTTTGCCTATATAGACATCAACAAGATTTACTTATTTACTTTGAGACTTTGACAGACTTAAGTGGACTTAAGCACAGAACACTAATACCCTTAGGCGGGAAGAATGTCAACTTCAAACAAAGAAAATGGCACCCATAATGCACGGCATCTCTGTCGTGCCCCTCTAAAACTTTTTTTGCGCGGGAATTTTGAAACGTGATTTTTTTTTAGTTGGCGTCTTGGTTGTTTCGTTTCAAAAATGGCTTAAGAATGTAAAATACCATATAGATAGATATAGCTTGTAGTTTTTCGTTTCAATGATATATATTGCTAAATTAAAACGAAAACAAAAGCACAAAGTTATTTGTAAATTATGGTACTTTACATTCATAAACCACTTTTGAAACGATTAGCAATCATTTTAATATAAAAAAAGGAACTATTTTTCAAATAAAAGTGGTTTTTGAAATACATAATTTTTATTTACATTATATACTTGTCCACATTGGTACATAGACAAACCGTTGGTACATTGAGGACGTAAGTGACGTAGTAATTAACTAATTTTTAACTTTATGCATGTAAACAGTTCTCAACAGCTCTTAACTAAATATCGATTTAATAGTTAAGTAGTTATGTAAAACAGAATAGTCTATTTTTAAGAGGTAGGCGTGTTTAAGCGAAGTATAGGAAATAAGCATTCTCGTAACTTCGCTAAAACACGTGTCAATGATTATTAGTTTATAGCTAATTAGTTCATCAATTCACCTATTAAGTAAACGGCATATGTAACATGACATTTAAGCAAAATTTTGATTTTTTTTTATAGTTTTGCAATTCTCCTTGCAAAAATAATGCAAAAGAGGGGGATATTTTACATTTTAATATTTCATTTACTGAATCATTTTTGCTCAATACTTTGAGAAATGCTTCATTCTTTAGATGCTTTACAGTTTTTTGAAGCCTGTTAATTTTTCTCAGATGATATTTCATTTTTATCAACATATCTTTATCCTTTTTTGTTTTTCGTGGATGGATTTGCAGTAGCAACAGGGTTGATATTCTCAGTTACTTGAGGAATAGCACTAGTTTTGTCAGGAATGGTCTTATAATGCACATTCTCACACAAGGGTTGTATACATTTTGACGGACCCGCAACCGGCTCAAATACATTTGGAACAGTTATAGTCTTCTGAATATTTTTAGACAGTGGTTGTTTAGTAGTTGATGGACCCGCAATATGTTGAATGACATTCCTTTGTTCCAAATTATGGTCAGCTAATGTGATCTGAAAATTAGAGATTATCAAATCATTATTTATGTCATGTATCCCAGCTGTTAGCGACGATAAGTGAATTTAAAAACATTTAATCTTAATTGTTTATTATTTGTGATATAAAACTAAGTGTTTGAAAGGAAAGGTGAATTTAAACGTTTAATCTCAATTGTTTCTTATCTGTGATTTAAACTAAGTATGAAAATTAATAGCATTAATACCAAGAGAGTGAAATAATAACTTATATTAGCTTCAATTCTTATTTTAAAAACTACGTAACGAAAATATAAATCGAATTGCTTATTTAGGTTTAATTAGAATATTTAAAACAAGATATAAGTTTAGTTACTTATTAGAACTTTCTTTTATTACAATTTTAAAGAGTTGTATTAAAGATATTAACATTTAAGTGTAAATTTAATAATTTGTTTAATTCTCTTTCTCTTATAGTAATATAACACGATAATGTGTCAATTAATCTCTTATATAATCTAATTACTCATTATAGAAATAGATTTTAATTTAATAAGAAGTTGAAATATGTTCTGTATAGAGTCTTAAGCATAGTGTTATCGTGATAAGCGTTGTGCAAGCCTGCCGCCTCGCGGCGCTACTTGTATGTTGAGCAAAAAAAGCTTAGCTACTCCGGAACTAAACCGTGAGGAGCCCGCGCAACTATTTTTATTTTTTACAAGTATAAATTAAAGGTTTTATGATATGTTTTATATTTGAAATAATAGAGATAAGTCATATCTATTGTCAGGAATAAATAAAAATATTGTAAGGTATGTTTTACCACACTTATTAAAGAAAATTATAAATTTCTCTTAGAAAAGGTTGTTCTGTGCTCTGATTGGTCGACGGGTCATGTGCAAATTCATTACTGCCGCGTGCAAATTTTCTCAATTCTGATTGGTCACAGCTGCCTATAAAAAAGGGGCGTTTTTTGTGGTAAAACATTCCAAATCCGGCAATGTAATAATAAGGAATCAAGAAAATAAATAAGAAGAAACTCTCAAGAAGTGTTATTTATTGCTCATCTAACTGCTACTGTATGCTCTCCAGTTAACATCCCGCCAGCAAATCCGCTCCATTTATTAACATTCTCACACACGAGCATCTACACCAGCATTGATCAACCTATCTCTAAATTTCAAACAGCCTTATAAATTTATAAACATTAACTACAACTTGTTTTTATTAATGAATGTTGCTTTAACCCATTACCACCACTACTTACTTATGGCTGCGAAACTTGGGCACTTTCTAAGCAGCACAGAGATATGCTCGAACATTGTCAAAGAGCCATGGAAAGGAGCATGCTAAGAATCGGAAAAATAGATAAGCAAAGAAACACACACATAAGAACAAGAACAGGTGTGACAGATATTCTCACCAAGATAGACCAAATGAAGTGGAGATGGATAGGTCATATGCTATGGAGCCCTCAAGATAAATGGAGCTATATTATTATTATTATTATAATGTGATCTGAAAATTAGAGATTATCAAATCATTATTTATATCATGTATCCCAGCATTGATCAACCAATCTCTAAATTTCAAACAGCCTTATAAATTTATAAACATTAAATACAACTTGTTTTTATTAATGAATGTTGCTTTAACCCATTACCACCACCATCCTATATATTTTTTTAAAGTTTATATCTTTTGTTTTTTTATGGTTGAGAAGTAATGGTAGGTTACGTCGCATACCCTAATAAATCACCACTCAATCCGTTACCACCGTTTGTTAACTAGAAAATATTTTCACTGTAGTATGAGAAAAGCCACACAAAAGAAAAAAAATGTAGATAGTAACAAAAGAAAGATTAACTAACCTTATCACATTCCTCATCAGGTACTGCAGATTTGACTAGCCTCTTTCCAAAATTATCAATGAATGATGATTTCTTAAAATGTTTAGTGCACAACATTAAATGCTTAGAATGAAGCTTGTTTTGAAATTCTGGTGACCACCAAGAGTCATGAGGAAAACAGTACTTCGCCCATAATTCACATCTGAAAATTTACAATTAGATAATAATATACTACTGAGGTGCTAAAAACATGCTTGGAAGAAGAGTGCAATACAAGAGATTGTTCCTTTCAAACAATGTGATTGTATTGTATTATAAATATTATTCTACATGTTATTTCTATGTGTACCAATACATCTATAACTACTTTATTATGTTATGATTTCTATGTGATACACCTCATGCTGTTTTGCATAATTTCTTTTTAATTTTCAGATTTATTTGCACACGTTTTTAAATCGCTTAATATGTATCTTAGGTTTTATTAGCCGATGCGGCCCATAATAATTTTTATTTCTGTTACTTTATTAATTCAGTGGTTCAAATTTAAACATTTTAAAACTGTTTTAATCAGTAACCAAAAAGCTATTTAGCATACGTACCGTAAGCTATTTGTTCTCCCAGGCTTAGGAAAACGATGCAAGGTGATGTTACGATCATGAGCAGGAGAACATCCACACTTGTAACATTTCCTTTCGTTTTCTTTCATGATGAAAGATAAAATTGAGTCTCTGTCTCTTTAGCACAATGCACAGCACTTGTTTTTGAGTCTCTTTCTCACTGTAAACACTAAAACGGAGGAACGGGATGTTCAACTCAACGTTAGTAATGTAAGAAATAAGTTAATATCAAAATATAAACCTAATTTGCAACAAAAATAAACAAGAACACAACCGCAAGCGCAAGGGATCAGCCATTTGTAATTTTGTTTATTTGCCGTTGCCATATCTTGCCTTTTTATTATAGTATGCAGTTTCATATTCATACATTTTGTTACTTCAATAAAGACGTAATAAATATATGTTTAACGAAATATATTATATAATAAAGTATTATAATTATTAAATAAAAAAATGATTAAAATGATGTGTCATTTAAATTTTAAAATAATATTTCTTTCATGGCAAGATAACATAAAGTGCGAGGGAGATAGATATTAATCCATCTCGCTTCTTTAAAGCCCCCCAAGGTCATCTACCGGTACCAATCTTTTATTAGGAAGTTGACTGGCCCTGGACTTCAATTCTTCAATGTCGAAATAGAGTAATTTAATAATTTTACCCTTTATAATTAGATTTTTATCAAACAATTGAAATCATTTTAACTTAAGACTATAATTTGTAATAATTTTGAAGTATCGGTAGAACGTAGTAAACAAATGCGTATACTGAAGTAATGATCCGACTTATGATAATGAACCAAACGCTTAAACGATTACAGGGAAATAATTATCTATCCAAAGTACCTAGCATTAGTAGCAAATATAGTAAACTAGTTTAAATATACTAAAGTACTTAGCTTTATTATGAAAAATAATCAAGTAAACAAGGTTAAACATTTTACAGTGTGCTTGTACAACACAGTAAATGCAGTTATAACCATTACACATGTTATTGAATAAAACACTTGAACGTTTACAGTACAGAGAAGAAAGAAATATTTACTTATTGTATCAATCTAAGGTACCTATCTTTAGTAAAAATATAATAAAGTTGCCTAAAATTATGAAGTGATGGTACAACAAAGTAAACACAGTCATATGCTGAAGTAATAATACAACTTGAAGTACCTATATTAATGAATAGAACACTTGAGTGGAAACTATGGCAAATGTCGGCCTTATAAAGCAATCTGGGGTAACAGTAATGGTTTGTTAACATAACCGTTACCTATGCCTTCTTTAATAAATTTAGAATAGAAGGCCTAGTTTTATACTAAATTCCATATTCATGCTAAAAAAATAATACCTATTGTGTATTTTAATAAATCAGTTTTTTGTACATATTTCATTTTAGGTATGTTTTGTTTGGATTTGTTTTGTAATGCAATGATGCGAAGTTCTTATTAAATTCACAGATATATTCAGTATTTTGTGAGTTATTTAGGTACATCAATTTATATTTATTAAAATATACAATGTGTAATACAATACAAGCACATAAGCATATTTTTATAAAAGTAAAACTAAGGAAATAATATAATTTCATTTCATATTATGGGTTGTCTGTCCTACTCAAAATATAATAAAAATGTTAAAATTTTGTTGTGTTACAATACAAAAAGAGAAATAATCACTTTGGATATCAAACTAAAGTAACTAAGTTTAGTAAGAAATGGAATAAAGTAACCGAAATATAATAAAGTACTTAGTTTTTAATTACGAAATATAAAAAAGAGAACAAAAAAAAAACACTACATAATAGAGAAAAATGGCTGTTCAATAAAATACATTACATACAGCTTTTGAAGAAGCTCAATACAAAGTTATTTTGCCTTGATGACTCTCGTAGACCTAGTTGTAGAAATAACCTTGTTTCCTTTAGCAAAATTTATGTTTCAGGTAAATATAAATTATATAATATCACATGATAAAATTACTACTGCAGCGCGTCACAAGTCCAAAGCAGGACACAGGCCTCCCCTATAGATTGCTGCAAAGTAAGGTTCTGAGCCACCTGTATCCATCGACTGCCTGTGTGTTTCATCAAATCGTTACTCCGCCTGCCTTGTGGGGGGTTGCCTAACATCGCTGTTGCCAGTACGAGGCTGCCATCTGAACACCTTCCTTTTCCATCGGTTGTTGGTTCTATAATCTAGATGGTCGGCCCATATTATAATTACAATACTAAAACGAAGTAAACTGTGTATATTAGGGTTGTAGTGTATATATGATGGGATGTACCAGGTTCACATGGAATACCAGTGTGATATAGCACCTTAATGTTGCTGTGTTGCTTATGGTAAATGCAGAGAAGCCGAGACCCTTTTTGTAGGAAACGAGACATTGCAACTTAGTCCTCTGGGGTGACGACACATCTGCATTTTGATTCCTAATCGAGTATTGATGTTGATGTCTATGGGCCACAGCATCTATTTACCATCAGATGGACGGTGTGCTTGTTTTCCATTCGTAACAAATAAAAATATATTTTGCTGTACACCCAAGTGGATTTTGGTCTAGGTGTGAACCGTTCTGCTAAACTGTTGGTAAAGAGTATTATTTAGTAAAATAGTTCAGTGGCCTTTACTTGTAACTTCCTAACGTCACTAACTAATTGGTCAATAGCAATTATTCAAACAAAACGTGTACTGGCGGTGTAAAAACAACCACTAGCCCATATCATCCCTTATCGCAGTAGGCATCAGATGAGATGGGCAGCAGCATCTTCTTAATAACAAAATTTTCTGTTGCTAAACTCCCTGCCAAGGTGACAGATATGGTAAATATCTCCCCTACGAGCCAGTTTATGGGGGAGGCCTATGTTCAGTATGGAATTTTGATAGGCTGTAGCGGTAACCGTAGCAATAACCAATCAAACAACCATCGATAGTAAGCATCTTTTTTTTTCATTTTGTAATTTGGACGAACACTTGTACTAGTTTCACAATATTTGTTTTAAAATATTATTATAGTTATTATAAAAACCGATCGGTATCGCTACATCGCATCATCAGTGTGATCACATTCTTGTGTAAACAATGTACGTGGTGATCACTCTGGAAGGTAAAGTTGCACCAAGGAACAATAATCGCAGCTATAAACTATTGTATTTTTTGTATTAAATGAAACTAATTTTGCAGATAGTATCGCGTTTAATTTAGACTTATTAATTCCCGACGCATCGAGTGCTTCACAGCACCCATGATCTCAGGGCTACAGAGGTCCCCCCCCGAACGGGTTCCCGCCTTGTCGTGGCGGGGGCTTAGTAGCCGTGGCTTGGTCTCCCACGGTGAACAAAGAGGAACCCACGTGGCTGGCCCGAGGTGAAGGGCCGGCCTGAGGTGGCCGCTCCGAGTGGGCTTGGGGAGCCCACTTCGGATGTGTGCTGATGGACTGCAGCGAGTGGGGACTCGCGCACCCTCTACCGCTGCAGCCGAGGTGGAGTCGCGGAGGAAGAGGAGTGTTGGTATGGCGATGCGCCACTCGCCCTATCCTTCGCGACTCAAACGGGGCCGCACCGTTGATGCGGTGGTGGTGGGGCTGCGGGGGGAGAGGATTGTCGGTATTGCGAGGCGCCGCTCTCCCTACCCTCCGCAGCCGAATCTTGGTTGGCGGCGGAGCCATAGACCAGATCCGCCGCTGGGGTCGGGAAGGCTAGTACTTCTAAGTGCTCGTTTTTCCTGGCCCCATGGCCTTTGTGCATCGGACGCGGGGGCGTCTGTTGCACAGACGTAGTTGGAGGCCGTGGAGGAAGGCGCGCCATGTGTTCTGGTGCGCCTTACCTGGGAAGGAGAACGGGGAGGAATTTTCCTCTCCCGAGGAGGTGCTGCCATGGGGCGGCAGGCGCTAGTAGGGCCGCGGATGTGTGCGAAAGCGTTCCCGTAGCCCTGCCAATATGCGACAAAGGTGGAACACCATGGGGTTTTAGTCGGTGCGAGTCCGACATAACCCGTCCTTGCCCCCGCGAGGCGGGTATGCGTAGGCATTTCCCCATGCAAAAAAAAAAAAAAAAAAAAAAAAGGGCTACAGAGGTGTTTGACGCCCCAACGTCACTGTTAGTCCAGATACTTTTAGTTTTAGAATATTAATTTTTGGTCTGACCAACGCAGAATGAGCTTACAGTATATCTTGAAGTCTTGCAGTGGTATGCTTGGGTTTGGATTTATTTTAGAATTATAGAATCCCAAGCAGATGGCAGCACCCATCCTCTCTATTGAAATTACGATGTTTGTAATTACAATAGCTTCGCGAATCATCCTTTGTAGGAATCAGTGTTCTTTTGCGAGGATTTGTAGTCTGTTAAATCTAATGTAATGGTGGGGACGATCTTGAACATGTTTACAGACTGCAGACTTCCCGAAGCGTCGCGTCGGTGCTTCACGTCGGTTATATATTCTTTTAAGTAGGTTTTTACAGTTCTTTTTGTTTGTGCTATGTACGAAAGACTACATTCAAAATCAAGCTTGTACACTCCTGCATCGAGTAGAGAGATATTACACTAGACGGATGGTAAAAATTTACTAATCTTCTTGTAGTAGGTTTTAATGGAAGCTTGCATCAAGATGTAGCCAATCTTGTCTGTGAATCCTCAGACGTATGGTAATACAGCAGGCATACGATCAACCGTGTCCGGCTTCACTCGGTCTCTATGACGTAGTCGCGGGATCCGAAGCTTGTTGTCCTGCAATACTTGCTGGACGTGATGAATCTCGGCGGCCAAATTTTTACTGTCACAGTTCCCTTGTGCTCTCTGTAACAAGGATTTTCTCACGTTAGCTAACCGTGAAGGATGGTAGATGCAAACGTCGGGAATTTAAAAGTCAAAATTAAACGCGATGAAATCCGCAAAATTAGTGTTATTTAATGTGTAGCCTTTTATTTCATTATAATTTTTGTAGTTTAAAAGCAGTTGAAGAAGATTTTATTAAAAACCTCATCAGGAATTCAATATGCAATTAAGCGACGAATAAATTAAATTGGAGACGGTATAATAATTTCCTTTTGAGTTAAGAGATGAATACATTTGAATTAAATATATAATTATTGAA